CATTATTTGGATTCTGAAATGTGGAATATATTATTGCCTATATATATGCTCAATGTAACTCAAGGCTACACATTTTGCAGCATTAGTGAGCGGAAGAAAGACGAAAGAAAATGCAACTACTAAGCTGTTCAGTTACACTACTGTATATATTCAAACTGAATGCAAAATATTTCAAGTAATGAGGATACATAGATTGAGCAAAAGAATCAAAGTAGTAGTGTGGAAAAATCAGGAATCTCAGACAGGATCTTTGCGCACCAGAGCAACCTGGTTGTTAATTCAGTCGTTCAGTTGTTTTTGAGACAAAACAAAGTTAGGGGAATCCCTAAATAAGCTTTATCTATATTTATAGTCACAAAGTGCATTGCAGCTTTGCCAGCATGTTCTCCTCTCACTCCAGACCTATTGTAAATATTTTAGTGGTAAGGAAAACATACACAGACACAGGGAGAACATGCAAAATCCACACTGAAAGACCCTGTTTGTCTTCATGAACAGTTTTGATAGTATTTACTAAGTTCACACTCGCCTTGGCAAGTTTAGCTTTGTCTATAAAAGTCTCAAATCTCAGACATTTTTAAAAGCGCAATAGTTCATATAAATTGCTCCTGGAAAGCTCTTAGATCGACATGGGCTTTTAGTAAAGTAAACTTCTGATGAATCATGGTGTTAAAGTGGACTCTTAGGCAAAGAACTGAGCAGATAATCTTAGCATAAACAAAATAGTCATAAATGAAGATTAATGTTGCTTTAACCTCCCTCTTTAGCTACTGCCAAAACAAGTTACTATGGAGAAGGGTAAAACTACTGAAACACTGGTAGAGCTCTTCTTTCAGTCTTTTAAATCCTCTCTAAATATTTTGGAAGCTGATAAGACGTGTTGCTATGGCAATGATGTTCTTATTTACGTTTCCCATAAATCGTGCCTTTGCACCCACAATCCTTTGCTCCGCCTGTAGAACTGCTTTGTAATCAGAGTGTGGATCGATGAACTCCGGTCACTTTGACGAGGGACTTTCATTTACTAATGGGTGCTATGGAGCAGGCGTGTGCAGGACGGCGGCTGTGATTGGCTGAAACCACATCATTGTAGGTTATAGCTTCTCAGTCAAACCACGTAAATGTAGACTACAGTGGTTGCACGTTTATCACTGTAATAACACTGCTGTATTTAAAAAATGTTGTGAAAGACATTGGACAGTGCATAAAATCGTGTATGAAAATCGTGCACGTTTGTGATCATGTTGGAGCAAAATTGATAGAATTTTAAAAAACTAAAATTGGTGAAAAACCTCTTCTCTCAGCACTTAGCAGTAAATCCATTTGATTAATGGCCATACTTGCAGGTGAAAGCCAGATCCCCTCAGACCTCTGATGATTTTGTAACTGGCCTTTTGTCTATTTCTTTTTACCACGTGCACAAACACATTGGGCTTAAGCAGCGGTGTCAAACTCCTTTTGGTCGAGGGACAAATTTAAAAACATAAGTGGAATAAAAGTTGTTTTTACATATTTTTTAAGTAACTGTATTTGACAATACTTTGAATATCATCTAAAACACATACAATTACATGCTTGTTTACCTGAGACAATAGGTTTTAAAATGTGACATGCCATAGTAGCCCATTACCATCAGTGCTCCAAGTTATTTCGTCTTGAGGGCCGTATTTGGGTTCCAGGAGGCATTCGAAATGTTCTGTCATTACCTAAAGCTCATGACCATAGGTGAGGGTGAGAAAGTAGATTTACCAGAAAATCGAGAGCTTTGACTTTTGACTCTGTTCCCCCTTCACAACAGTCCGATCCATCTGTCAATCCCACGCTCCATTGTGTTTCACTGTATATTACATGGGGCAGCATGGTGGTTAAGTAGGCTTGATTCCACCTCGGAACCGGGCCTTTCTGGGTGTAGTTTGCATGTTTTCCGGGTGTTCCAATTCCCTCTACCACTAAACATGTATAGTAGCTCCCCTCTCTCCGGGGCCAGGACTCCCCTGGAAAAGAGATTCTGAAATCTCAGTGAGACTTTCCTGGTTCAACAAAGGTCAATTAATCAAACTGAACTTCTACTACTGAACTTAAATATGTGTGTATCATCATAAAGTAGAGTTGAGTTGAGTTTGCAGATTACTGTTTGGTCCAGACCAGCCTTTCTGATACTGTATATGTAAATTCAACCCATCACAGTGAGACCAGCTGCTGGAGAATTGCCTGCTAATTTGAGCACACACACATACACGCACAAGCACACACACACACACGCACACAAACACACTCACTCACTGCTGCTGATTGATGGCTTCATCTGTAAACATGAAAGTGGATGGACAGGACAGTGCATCTCAGTCCGTCCTTTAAGCCCTCATCAATGCAGGACGCCAGCTTCTTTCAAATTTTGGCTCCGTCATAACCAATCATAGCATCAATCAGCCTCAGCCACTATTTACATAGGGCCAGTTATATCAGAGATTAAACCACCAGTCAATTCAGGTGTCATCTCCGCCAAAGTGTGCATGAAAAAATAGGAAATTGGATCTGAGAAATGACTCGTTTTTATGGAGATTATGGAGGTACTTTTGCCAGTGCAAAGGCATACTGACTTCATTCAAAATCAAGCACCTAGTTATTTTGGTAATCAGCAAATGAGTTTGAGATGGTTTGTGAAAATGTTCTACCGGATAAAAAATGCCATGGATAAAACATTTTAGCCATTAACAACACAAATCATATTCACAACAACTTCATGTTTCATCAATGTATAAATTCAGTTTTCAAAAGAAGCAAATTAAGGAAAAATCCTTTTTTTGTATACACTTCTCCTATTAAACACATTGGACCCAGTATTGAACCCTGTGGCACAATGCCCCTAGACAACAATCCAAAGGTGACAGAATACTTTTTTGCAAGTTATTCATAGTACAAAAAGGTTTCAAGTAAGGCCACACATCCCATTGGCTTGATCTAGCCTAGCGTGTTGGATTCAAATAAGTAGACAAAGGATTCTTGAAAAAGATAAATAATGGTCTGTAAATAAAATACACTTGGGAGCAACATAGCTGTGCGGATTTCATCTTCATAGTTATTCAAACTAAACCTTCTGTTTTTGCAACTCCACTGCATGATTAAATTGTAGATTGTTCTATACCTTGGCGTGAATAGTGACAACCTCAGAAATGACAAAGACACAATACATTTCCATGTGTAATCGGTTTTCTTGAGATTTTCATTATAAATTCTACACAGCCAGAACAAAAACATTGTAAAGACACATCAACACGCCGGAGGTCACAACAAAGTACCACAAAATATACAGCATCCAGTGAAAACAGACAGGTAAAGCACTGAGGATATTGCATAAAAAAAATGCTAAAATGTATCATTATAAAAACAATTCTAGAAAAAGTCTGAAAAATAAAAACATCAGTAGTTCCAAAATCATTAAGAATCCCCTTTCTAGAAAAAAACCAAACCACAATATCTTATAGAAAACATACAACTTCTATTGCCGCCTGCTTTTCACAGGTTTGCTAACAGTCAATATGGCAGTCAAACACAATTTAGGAAGAAATAAGTTTGATAATAAACTAAAAATGCCTTATGTTCCAGTGTATAACAATTTAAAGGCTGATTACTCTTAAACACACCCACTGGCCTATTATCAATGGAAATCCATGTTTGTACCATAATGTTTGAAATCATTATATGAAAAAAAAACCCCATTGCTATCTGGTTCTTATGCCAACCTAAAAAAAACCATGTTTGATCAGTAATTTGATTCTCTTGTGGTGTGCTTGTAACAGTAATACATACATCCCGTATATAGTCCGAGCTTGGATGACTTTTCAACACATTTAGAAATGAGTGGTTCAAAGTGGGTTGGGCATTTGGGAATATTGTCAATTTCTCCCTAAATGTGTTAACAATAAGTAAATGATATTAATGGCAATAGGAATCAATACAACTAGGTAAATTATCAGCTTTAGTCACTCATTCAACAATATCGGCCCAGTTTAAACCATACACAATCCCTATGTGTCACCAGTCATAAACACAGTGTTCGGGAAATCATAATTTTGACATGGAACAAACAAACAAACATAATATACAAAATAGAAACAAGAAATGTACAACTTGAAGTCATTTTTTGGCTGTGCTTTCAATTTTTTAGAACAATTCGGAAGTAAGAACAATGGTGTCAAGTGATGGGAAATGAGCGAAAACAAACGTATAGGTGTCAAGAATTGGGAAAGTGGAAGAATACTTGCGTCGGTTTTGGACGTGAAACAAAAAAGGCCACCTGTGATATTCACCCAAACATGCCCCGTGTAAGTACATAACAGACCTTTTACAGTAAGTGCAGATCTCATAAAAGAACGAGGGTCACACAATCTTCGGAAACACAATTAAAAAAACACAGTGGGTATGATTCATGTGCTGCTACAAGTTGATTTTTTTTTAAGTTTCAGGAACTGAGAGCAACACACACGGGATCAAATAGGCATAAGAAGTAAGGAAACGTGCCCCCAGGACTATAAACCGGGACGAGGGGGCAGCTTTACTCTCACACACCTGGGATTCTGCCCAGAAGAAGTCGGACAGCAGATGGCGCTGTCGTCTTGCCTCTGATGGTAGGAATACCAGTCAAAAAGTGTATAACAGCTGACAATACACACCACAGGATCACTCTAGTCTTAAAGAAAGAATCGACTTGCAGAATCAATCAGAAGAGCAACTAAACCTCATCGGACTACGATTCACGTGGTTGTATTTTGGTATAAAATATAGTAAATGTGAGGATGGAAGTACAAAAAAAGGATTATAATAAAAACAGAATTCAACGGATCCACTCCAGGTTTAACTCATGCGGTGCAAACTATGTCGTGAACGTCCCAAAGTCCAGTGTTCTAGCTTTTTCCATCTCCTCGAGTGAAATAAAAATAGCCTCTTCATAGACGTCTCCCTGTTCCCTTCATCCCTCCGTCGGTCATTGTTGTAGTTCATCACTGTGGGAGAAAGAGGAGAGTCGTGTCAAAGCAAGTCAAAAGCTTCTCAAAAGGCATTGTTACGGAACTTTCTCAACTCTTGATTGATGTGAGATAAATAGAGCTAAAACATTGGCCATAGGTTTAAGCAGTGTGTTCAGTTCACAAGACTCAAGCGTATGACATATATGTACGGTATAAAGAAATGGAAAGAAATAAAAAGATACATTGCAAGATAGGAAAAAGTCATCACAGTCAGATAACTCATAAAACAATACAGTATAGGCCTGATTCAATGCAAGTAGGGATGCAACTAGCCTGGTCGTACCACACCATAGTACAAATGACATTTCGTACTAAGGTCTGGAGGTGCTCCATTTAGCTCTGTTTACAGGGGGGAAGGAATTAACTCCTTTTGCAGATTGAAAGGATTGGATCTGAGTTTACTGTGACGTATGTAATGCGCCCGAGTGAGTCGTTAGCATTTAGCCTAGCCATCTCTTTTGCCGCTAACAGAGCCCGTGGGCAGTAGCGCCACAATTTTTGCCAGCGAATACATTTGTTAAACATTCCTCTTGCTCCGGCTTGAATTTCTTGATAAAACCAGACCGGAAGAATTTACTATCGCATTCTTCGCCAAACTACAACCTGCCTGTTCGGCGCAAACTCTAGATGTCACCCACAACTAACTACAACACTCGCCTCCTGCGCTCACTGATTGGTCGGATGGAATTCAATTGATTGTAATCAGTAACACAGGGACCAGACCCAGACGTTACATGCAGGGAAATTATGAATGAGCGGAGTGTACGGATGGCTATGGCCAGGTTAGGATGCAACTAATACATTAATTTCTTTTCATTAAGAACAACAAGGCTACATGCCTTGTTGTTCTTAATGAAAAGAAATAATGAAAAGAAATATATATAAGACAAAATTTGATGCATTTTCATTAACCCTTTTCTCATTTTCTTTATAAGTCTGATTATCATTTATTTGTGATGAATTAATCTATTTGAAGTTCATTCAAGGTAAAGTCCCCTGAGATGACTGGTGTGATTTAGAGCGATACAAGATGTATTTCTGAGATCATGAATCATAAAAAAATGTCTAATTGTTGGTGTCTGTGTGAAGCCACCGTGTGCCATTTATTGTCAAATAAATATTTTCTATTTTAAAATAAAAATGAAAATGAAAACAGAAAAAATACGAGTGACAAAGTTTCCATCCATCAGTTCTCAATCAAATATATTTCCTCTCTAACATCTATGACAGCATGAAGTTATATATCCTCTCTGATGGTAAAGCTGCACTCTCTCCTTGGCAAAAAGCCTCCAGTTCCTGTCAATTCCTGGGCTGCTTTACAAGAGAGCTTTGCATGCATTTGAGAACTCCCCAGAAATGTAATAATTTGAAAATAGAAAACACCTAACTTTGTCCATAAATGGTGTCAAACAACCACATTTGAGGTTTTGTGATCATTTAAAATCTCCAGCAGATTCTGATTCTGATTATGGCCCAAACAAGTCAGTAAACTTTCAACCACAACTGTAAGAACAAACTGCAAATGAATCATACGCTTCTTTAAAGCGTGTAATTCTGCAGCATTCTGTCACTGTGCACTGACAGGCCTCTCTTTATTGTGTCAGAAAAATGTGTGTTTTTTTACCAAAGCATTTCACAAGAGTGCTCCTCACTTTGAACTAAAGGCTCACTGTGTCTTTGAAGAGCTTGAAGATTTATGTTTGACCTGAAAACGTCAACATGACCATTGCTTTACACACTCCACTGCACCATTTACAGACTGTTTAATGATAAACTACTTACCGACTGATTTTTTCTATTTTCATTATTATCACAAATCACCGAAAAGACTAGTGTGGTCCATAAACATTTCTGTGTGGGCTTCTAGGGGGCACAAATAGGGGTGGGAACCTCAGGGTACCTCACGATACGATACGCGATACAAAGCTCACGATAACGATTATATCACGATATGACATTATCGATATATTGGTCATATACCTACGATTATTTATGGCATAAATAAAAGAAAAATGTTTGGTGAAAAAATACACTTTGTTTCATCATAAATGGAATGGAGATGTGTAATGTAGCCATATATTAAGTATTGATATACATTTTTTTTATTTATTTTTTATCGATCAGCAAAAGCATATCGATAATCGTCACGTGAGAAAGTATCACGATACATCACCATATCGATATATCGTCACACTATTCATCACTATTTTGTCTTTTGGAGCATTTTTTGTAATTAACATTTCAGTTTTGAACCAGCTTGAAAATGATATGGCTACTTTGAATCCCTTTTCAAAACTCTTCAACTGAGAATTGCACTCTTCATAGTTAAGTTAAAGTGTGCATGTTTTTTTATGATTTAATAATTTGGAATTCTGGTGAAATGAGACCATGTAACTAATATTTTCAACATTATTCAACCATGAATGTTTTCTGTTTAAACACACTACTCAAATGCAGCACAGATACTATGAGTAAACAAACACTTTTGACTTGTAAAAAATTGCACAAATATATCCATAGCATTAAAAGTGCATTCCTCAATCGGTGGTGACGTGCTTTCACATGGCCTGCTCTGCTTCTTGAGATAGATATGTTATTGCTTTGCTTTCAACGTCACTCACTTTGATCAAAAACATGTGCATTTGTTAATTATGGATGATTGTAAGAGCGAGTCGGAGAGCTGTACCTGCTCAGTGGACGGTCTCTTTTTGAGGAGCCCCGAGTCTTCATTGGCCTTTTCTGTCTTCATCTCCACCACGATCTCATTGTTGACCTCTCCATTGGCCCTGCACACACCGCAGCAGAGGAGGAAACAACATGAACAAAGGCAGCATCAAATATTTATCAGTGAGGAGTCTGTCTGAGTTGTTTAACAATCCAGAACCCACAGGGAGGAAGAGCAGCACACATGTCCAGCGTGTTTACAGTTTCACATATCGTGGTGTTTCAGAGGTCTGCTTCTCAAACAGAGGTCTGCTTCTCAAACAGTAGATGAACACAGTAGATGAACACAGATGATGAAACCTTTCCTTTTGTGTAATTTCAGCTAATTCAGCAGTCTAGTTCCCGAAAGGTGCAGTATTGAGTCTGCTGAGATTGCTTTAGTGCTACATAAATTACCATACATTATTGCTGTAGCTAAATACATACATGAATAATATGTAGGATTGACTTTTCAATGAATTGATAGAAAAATGTAAAGCAGGCAGCTGCAGAGGGTAATATGGATTTGAATCTGGTCACTAGCGATAGCACACAAACGCAACACATTTTTATTTACATTTGCATGAAGAACATAGGGTCTAGTATGTAATGTCGTGATTTTATTTAATTGTAGGCACAACAGCCCTGGGGCAGACTCCCAGAAACAATGCAACAAATCTGAGCCATTGGCCCCTCTCACACACACCAGACTTGTACTGGGCAAAGAGGGGGAAGTGTCTTGCTTTAATGTGAAAAATGAGTGATGACAAGTGCAATATCATATTGATTCAGTGCAGTGTTAATACTTATTCTTGTTTTTATATTGACAGATGGTGGTATAATGCATTGGTATTTACTTTTTTATTCATTTTATCAATATGGCGAGCCACATTTTTACTTTTGAGCTACATTTTGATTTGCAACTGCAGCTGCTGTGGTTTACTCCAATGAAACTTTGTTGTATTTGAACAATTGTCATTGTACGTCATATTCATCGAATGAATCAAAGAGTATGACGCAGTGCATTAGGTCTAGTATATACAGTATATGTATAGGGTCTACACTTGGCTTTGAATATTGGCCGATTATAAAATACCTGCCCATTAAGAGATTACTTTTTTTCTTTCCACAGTGGAGAAATTTCAAGGTATGGAATCTGAAATCTCACCAAACTATCCTGGTCAAATTAAAGGTCGATAAATAAATACATACAAATACATACAATGACGACGTATCAGATGCTGGTGTTAAAAGTGAGCGGGTGGATTCTACTCACACATCCTTCTTGCCCTTCTTGCCGCAGGGGAGCTTGTCCTTCTTGTTGAGGAAGTAGAAGAGGGCGACCAGCAGCAGCAGCAGCAGAACGCACACTACCACCGCGATCACCACCGAGCTGGAGCCGCCCTGCTGCATGTCGGCTACAGCGCCACACGGTGGACGGGCGGACACATGGGGGGAAGGAGGGAGGAGGGGGAACGGTGTGGGGGGATGATCATCCAGAGGAGGCAGAGAGGAAGTCAAGTGGATTTGAGTTGAGAGTAATCATTGTGTGAGGAGGGGGTTGATTGGTGTAAAAATTGAAAAAAGGATGTGATGGGATGATTTGATTGGTTGGGGTGGAAGGAAGTGGGGATAGAAAATGGGGTTGGAGGGAGGAAGAGGGGCAGGGGTTGGGATGCAGGGTTAGTTGAATTGAATGCAATGACATGAAATGCCTTGGGCCAACACCATATATAGCATAGAAACAAAACACGGCGCTAAGAACAAGCTACAACCAGACTCACCGCCCACCTGTGCTTGTATTACTATAGTTATGAGGAAAGGACATCATTAATTTGTGATTAATGTGTGTTATAATCATGTACTAATACTGACGTTATTAGTATATAGTATATATACTAATAACGTTATTTTTCAATGTTATTTGGATCGCTCTTTATATATCCATAATTTCTTGCCTATTTTAAAACGTCTATACTCTATATGTAGTTGTGGGTTAGGGTTGGGGTTGGGAATGTATGGGGAAATTTAATATCCAAGTTCATTTGTCCATTTGTTTCTATCTTAAATTGGTATTAAAGCTAGGATACTTAATTTGAAACCCACAAAAAATGTTACCCATGTCAGGCCATCCAATGTAACTCCCAGAATAGTGTGGTTGTATCACTAGTTTTCACACACACAATATGTTGGCCTCTGTTCCATCTTCAGATCAGCGGTCCAGCCTCACTCAGCCCATCACCTCTCAGCCCACAGCGTCAATTAGTGACTCCCAGGGCTCTTTCTGACAACCTATTTTCTGAATAGATAGCATGTTGTGGTCCTATTTGTTTCCCAAGAGCAATTTTACTAGGACAAACCATAATTTTGGTACCCCAGCTTTAACAAGAGTAATTTTTTTTCAAGCGCTTACGTTGTTTTCAGGGATTATGTGTAACCATAATAGTGATGAAAGAATTTTGTCATGCCCCATTTTAGGCAACCAATGGATTGACCAGGAACCTCTGAAGTCAACTAAAAATATAGGTTGAAAATAGCCCAACTATATCCAAATTAAATAGCATGCAACTTGTCCTCACATATACAGCAATACAAGCACACACTAGCTCTGTACAGAAATGCATTGACCTGTGTGACGGGGCCGACTCTACACATAAACGTACACACACACACTAAAACTAACCTACACCAAATACATGTTGAAGGGTTAGCCATACAGACCTGACACAGGGTTTCCAGAGAGCAGCACTTATAAAGAAAAAGAGAGGTCTCAGTCCCAAAAGCATCACAAAGCCATGGTTAAAAACATACACAGCCAAGGCATCGAGCGGACGCACACGAGGACACACAACAAAGCGAGTGGACCACAAACAAAAAAGGGCAAGACACAGAAGTGATACGAGAGGAGGCAGTCAGAGCGTTTACATGCAGCTGGCCTATGCTGATGCTGCTGAGTTTAAATGCAAAAAATATATATTAAAAAGATAATGATAATTGCAAAAAATAAATCTTTTCAGAGCTCACATGCAGTGAAAAGTTTAGAGCTATGGCATGTACAAATGTATGTTTAGTACAAGAGAAACAAGAGTATTTTTCTACTCACAATAATCGTTCCAGTAATATTGAATGTGAAATTGTGAGACTAAAAAACAATCTGAATCTAAATCTGTAAATAGTAGTTATAACCATAGATGGCTAGCAGGCATCTACAGTATACGCTAATACAGCTTTCTGGGCGTTCCCTTTTACAAAGCACTCACAAACTTTAGAAATTAGTATGCCTGGCTTGTTGAAGTTTTATAGATAGAGTGTTAAAATGATTTATTAGCCATCATGGGTGTATGTCAGCTCCTTGTCCCATGCAACATTCTCTGGACTGTAATCCTATTCAGAACACATATTAAAATTATATATTAAAAACACATGGGTAAACATACTTATTTTCTATTGCTGAGATGTTCCTACAATTCTTTTATTCAGGTTTAATATGTGTACATTTTTGCGTTCATAATTAGTTCTAACTGTGGTGCACTTTGAGACTAAGTACGCTTTGTCCAGTTGTAGAAAGCACCAAACCGGTGCAAGCTAGTCCTAGTTAACTCACTTGCGTCGTCATGAGGACTGGTGCATTCGCCTCTGAACTAAAAATCCTTACAATCTAGTAACAATGAGCAAAGGCAACTCTCATCCTCCTTGCATGTAACCGCACTGACCGAGTAAAGAAGCACAGAAGAGAGGGAAAAGAGGGTTACAGAATAGAATAGAACTTTTATTGTCCCCACGGGGCCACACACAAAAAAATCTTAGTAGCATCCACAAAATATCAGACAGACATCATACAAAGGTGACAAGAGAGGAGAATAACAATATACAATATCCACAGTGTTCGGTAGCAAGAGGGCAAATATACAAGGTTACAGTACAGCAGGGGAGAGAGAGTGTGCATGTGTGTGTGTGTGTGTGTGTGTGTGTGTGTGTGTGTGTTGGGGGGGCGGCATCGTAGAGAGATTGGGGGTCTTTACAGGGATTGTGCAATAAAAAGTCCTGAGATAAGGAGGGAGAGGAGGAGGAAGAGGGAGAAGGCTCTACCTCTGTCAGCGTTGTTTTTAGCTGCTGCAAAAGAGAAGAACGGAGAGAGGTCGTTTATGTGGAGAAAGAGTTAGAACAGGAGAAGGAGGAAACGTGAGTAAGTGACCATGTGTAGACGCTTCTTTGCTTTTTTTTGTACCTCTTTTTAGGGCAACCGAGACCATCTTTTGGTCTTTGCCGAACTCGTTGGCGACCTCGCAGGAAACGCCGGCTTTCATGAGCTCGGGAGTGGCCTGCAGCGTCACGGAGCTCACCACTTTGTTCTCTTCTACTGTCACGGACTGGAACAAAGAAATGTATGGAAATGTTTGTTAAATGTGCCAATATTTAGAAGGAGAACCGGTACATGTCAGATATCTTTTGATGGGTGAGTGCTCCAGACTTTGGGGACCACTGCTTTAGGTGCCAGAGGTTATTCAAGTAATTATTGCGAAACTTATAGAGCACTACACTGTACAAAAAAAGCAAGGTATCAGGTTATAATTTTGTTACTTGAGTGGTTTTTATCTTCATGTTATTTGCCAATGGGACAAAGCATTTAGTCACATCAGTCAGATATTGATATTTAAAGGAGACATACTTGTATCTTTTTAAAACAAGATACATTTTCTCGTCTCCTTGGCAAATCTTGTTTTAAGGCAGTCAAAATGGGCTTACATTAAGATAAATTTTGCCTAACTTTAGCAATTTTTGGCTATTTCTATCTTACTTTTTGCAGTGAACTAAAAACATAAAAACAAAAAATGAGATGAAACAGTAATATTGGTAGAATTTGGTTGTGGAAAGCCAGGTCGCTGTGAAGTGTCCTGGACTCATGAGCTCATGACTTCAGCTAGTTTTGCGCCAAAGGCCAAGTAATCAACCTTAAAATATTAGTAAAAAAGAAAAATTTCTCACATGGAATGAAAAAAAATTACATGAGAGCTACTTCTTCCACTGTCAAATCTATAAATTCAAATCAAGATAAATTTTGCCTCAATCAAGCAAATATTTTGTAGTAACAACTTGTAAATTCTGTAGTGTAAAAAGCTATTCTTGACATGAGTTTGAAAGGCAATGATAAAATTCTAACACTGGCCAACACTAAGAAGAGAAAGCACTCTACCATCTCTGGTGTATCTACTTGGACTGATTGTACATAGTCTATTGAATACTATTCCCTTTTCTATATTCTCATTCTTTGAAAATATGGACCATTGGAATTTGAGTCTGAAAAAGTTATTGATGAATGATTATTACATGCTGTTTGGGATGCAAAGTATGGCAAACAAACTGTCTATCATTTCGTACATGTACAATCATCAAACGCATACAAATAAATCAGTTCAATCCAAAATCTAATCTAAAATCTTGATCTAAGCTTTTTAAATCACCTGCAGACTCCTCCAGCCGCAGCTCACTCAGCTTTTGAAGTGCACTAAGCAGAAGATCTTATGTTGTCTGACAAGAAAATACTTTGGGATTATGACTTACTTTGAAGTGTGTTTAAAAGGCAACAGTTACGGCGTCTCATTATATTTATTTTTGTATATTATTCTAACTGCACCTGGGCCTTGATTGTTCCGTACCTCTTTCCCCGCCGGCTTCCAGGTGAATTGTGGCGCTGGGAAACCGTACGACGCACACATGAGAGTCACCATGTCCCCTTCCTTTGAGACCTCTCCAATGGTGGGCGGGAGGATCACTGGTTTTCCTGGAAATCAACACACGTGTTCAGGAAAGAGCAATTTCTCATTGAGTCATGGACGGCAGCAGTAGCAGCAGCCGCTTCCAGCAGCTGTTTCGCTTCCTTCCTCAGCGCGACACACCCACATGCGCTGGGTGTGGATCTGCAAAAGGCCCGCCAAGCTCCTGGTTCCAGAAGTGAACAATACATAGCATTTTCTCATAGGGATTCTAAACAGTATTAAAAAACTAAAAAATCCCACACTTAAAGGAGCAGTATGTAAACATAAGGCCGAAAGTGGCACTGCACTCTCCCTGACTCCGGTTGCCAGATATGCAGACGAATAGCTGGACATGAGTTTTGTCAATAACAAATCTTTAACCAACACCTTTTTCACAAAGAATTTTAACAATAGAAATTCTCATTTGGTTTCATGTTTTGTCACTAATTATTTGAGAATCATAACAAGACCTTTTTTAGTTCTGCGACCACATGGTACTTTACCAGTGAGGTTAGCTCAATGCAGTTAGTTCTGGCGCCCAGATCACAGGCTTTCTGATTGGTAAAACGGTGGAGGGCGGGACATCAAAATGAAAACTTAATCAGATTTAGGGGGTACAAAACCAATTTTGAAATTCACATATCTGGCTGAACTACTGTTTTCTGAAGTATTGGAAAAGAGCATGTTTTATTAATGCCTTTTGACAGATTAGGGCCCTCTAATGATGACTTGACATAAACATCTTACATATTGCTGCTTTAATGGGGCTGATGTTTTATTTGTACTGTATAGCTGTGTAGTGTTTATGATATGATTTATTTGTGATTAAGAGATCCTTTATTAGTCCCACAGTGGGGAATTGTCAGTGTTGCATCACACGTTACAGACAATAGGAACACAAGATAAATTAATAATAACTCTATACTAAATTAAACCAAAATCTATAACTCTACCATATTAACGAAACAACATCTAACATCTCCAACTTTAACATGATGAAGAAGCAAGACTTAGGTGCAAAATCTCTGACTTTAGCATAATAACGAAAGATTCCCATTTGTATGTGTTTTAAAATGTTTTTAAACGTTGTGAGTGCTTCACTTTGGTTTGCATTCTGTGAAATGTGCAATAGAAATACACACTGATTGATTGATGATGATATATGTGAAAATGCTGTGCAGGTTTGAAATAAATAAACAATTCATTAATTTATCCACACGGAGAGTAATGTCCACAATGGCAAAGATAAGAACACATTTCACAAACTTGTATGTTTTCATTTACTTGCAACGATCACACCACAACGAAAGAATGATGCAAGAGTTACATAGAACCATACTTCTATCTATAAGTGAAAGTTTTTCATAAATGCTGCAGTGGAAAGTTCTTATACAAAGTAATCGTGTTTGAATACCTTTGACGGTGAGGTTGACGGTCGCGTGGCTCTCGAGTCCAGGGACAGAAGGCACAGCTCCTACACACATGTACTGTCCGGCTTTTTCATAAGAGACCTCCTGGATCGACAGAGTACCATCCTGGGAAAGAACCTCAGAGCCCTGGGGAGAAGTCAGAATTAAGGTTAAATAATGTTTGATATTAAATAAAAGTAGTGACTCACACACAAGAAAGACCTGGGTTCAAATGAGATGAAGACAAAAAGCATGTAATAATATTGAACAAAAACGTTAGGGGCCCCAGCTTTAAAGAAGAAATATAAAAAATAAAAATAAAAAACCACTAAAATTGTTTAGTGAATGTTGAATAATATCATCAGTTCTAAATACATGTTGAAAAAAGTGTGAAGGGTAAATATATCAGCCTGCCTTATCCTTATCCTTATGCTACGACCAGATGGATGTGCAGAATATGTTTTGTTCTTTAAATATTTGCAAATTACCGGCTGCAAACACAGCCATTGGATTGTAAAAAGTCTTATTTACTTGAGAAATTGTCAAAACTAATTTATGGGCAAAAGTGTTGTTTTAAAAGGCAGAAAATATGTTTACGTCATAGTGGTACAGTGACATCATACTGATACAGGACAGTTATGTGGTTCTTTTATAAACAGACAGACGTAAGATCTGAAGTCTCTAGACACTTCTGAGGAAGACGGAAGTACATCATCAAAATATGTTCAGGTAATAATTATATAATGGAAAAGAAGAACCAAACAAGATTATTTTATAAAGAAAACAAGACAAACCGACTATAAAAACATGAGAGTTTTTAGACAGAAGGGGTAGAACTACACATTTACACCCAAAATGTCCTGATATTAGAGTGGATAGATCTAGAAGCAACTCCGGATCTGTATTTTGATTAGGGAAGTTGTAACATGATTAAAAGAGAGAAAAAATCAGATTTTTTTTCATGATATGTCTCCTTTAAACCAAGTTACATTTCTGAAAACACATCTGGCTTTTCTTCCAGACACATATTAGATTTGGGAAAATATATCATAAAAAACCATCTCCCTGGTGCGGCTTATCGCCAAGAAAACAAATCAAAGTCCATCCAACATGATAAAGTGTCAGTTATAATTCTCCTCAGCTGCTTCTCCGCAGACAGGCTGAGCGCTGACGGGATCACCTGGACACGGATACACACACACACATTTCTATTCTACTTGAAAAAGGCTAAACTATAGAGATAATAAACTCCACCATGTTCCAAATACTAATAATTCATAATTGTAGCTACGCCACAGCCATAAAAGAGTCCTGTGTGGTAAAAGGAACACCCTGTAACTTTGTATTCTGTTTTTACAAATGGAATGCTCTTCTGTTTGACAATACATTTATCAATCTAGCATTTGTTTTGTAATACAGTGGTCCCTTGTTTATCGTAGGGTCACAGAGGGAGACTAGAGAGAGACCAGAGAGAGAGACCAGAGAGGGACCAGAGAGGGACTAGAGAGGGACCAGAGAGGGACCAGAGAGAGACCAGAGAGGGACCAGAGAGAGACCAGAGAGAGAGACCAGAGAGAGACCAGAGAGGGACCAGAGAGAGACCAGAGAGAGACCAGAGAGGGAGACTAGAGAGGTACCAGAGAGAGACCAGAGAGAGACCAGAGAGAGACCAGAGAGAGACCAGAGAGAGACCAGAGAGGGAGACTAGAGAGGGACCAGAGAGAGAGACCAGAGAGGGGCCAGAGAGAGACCAGAGAGGGACCAGAGAGAGAGACGAGAGAGAGACCAGAGAGGGAGACTAGAGAGGGACTAGAGAGAGAGACCAGAGAGAAAGACCAGAGAGAAAGACCAGAGAGAGAGACCAAAGAGAGACCAGAGAGAGAGACCAGAGAGAGAGACCAGAGAGAGAGACCAGAGAGAGAGACCAGAGAGAGAGACCAGAGAGAGACCAGAGAGAGACCAGAGAGAGAGAGACCAGAGATAGAGACCCGAGAAAGAGACCAGAGAGAGAGACCTGAGAGAGAGACCAGAGAGAGAGACCTGAGAAAGAGACCAGAGAGAGAGACCTGAGAGAGAGACCAGAGAGAGACCAGAGAGAGACCAGCGATAGAGACCCGAGAAAGAGACCAGAGAGAGAGACCAGAGACAGACCAGGACTGAGGGCTACGGGAAGACTCTGATTCTCTGATTAGTTCAGAGGATTACCACACAAGCCAAAAAAGTCTTCTGACTTACTAAATAAAAGTAACTGTCATGTTAGATACTACCAGAATTATATGATGGTATTTATGGCGGTGTATGAGTTTACACATGGTGTATGAGAAGCACGCTGTAAAAATCACATGCAAAATTGCGCAGACGGAAACAATAGAACAATAGAATAACAATAACAATAGAATAATAATGTGCCCTCGGCTGCATGTTCATGTTTTCATTAGACTTCATTTAGTATTGCCTGGACTACCTGAGCCTATACGTAAAGTCTAAATACATTATCTATTTACTGGAATGGGTTTTTAGGGTAAAACATGGAATCAATTCTCTTACAGCAGCACGCATAATTAACAGTTGCTAAAAACACATTTCCCATTACATATTTTATTACTTCTCATTCTCCTCACAGTTGCATAATGACATCTTTTTGTTGTGACAGTGTCTCGATTGAATAATTGTGATTGTGATGTCCAACTATGGGAATAAAGACAAATGCAAGTACAGAAGCAGTAGCAGTCATTTCTGGTTTCTTTACCTTATATAGAAAAAAGAAGCTAGGAAAGCCAAAAATTACCTTCTTCCATTGAACTGTGTGTGGAGCAGATCCTTTGGTCTTGCACTGCCATTCCACCTTGTCTCCGAGCATTACGACTTGAGGCTCGGCTGGGATCACGCTAACTGGGTCAATGTCTGCCAAAAATAATTAAAATAGATACATGTTAATCACATTTTAAAAAAAAAGAGGATTTGAAGTTTTGGGAGACTTTGTTCTGTTCCAACTTTGCCTACAGTGAAGTTAAGCTCATTTGGATTCTTAAGCCTGTTCTCCACTATTTCTTTTCCCTCATAATTTGAATGATAAGATCAAATTAGGGAGTGGAGTTGGGATAACATTAAAGCAACAGATGAACTGTGAAAAATTGCACTGGATATCTCCCGGCCGCATGGAATCCATTAAAACACCCACCCTTTCTATTCTGATGAATGTGATGGGGCAGAGGAATGAAAGACGGTAGAATGCTTTTAAAAGTAAGTAAGTCATTTTTATTTATAGCGCATCTTTACAGACCAAGGTAATGCGTTTTATTTAGCACTTTTTTGGACATGTCACTATTATTTCACTTCATACACAACGGAGATAAACTATTATTGTAGCCACAGCTGCCCTGGGGCACACTGACAGAAGCGAGGCAACCAGTCTGTACCATCGGCCCCTCCCACCACCAACATTTCACACACACACACTAAGGTCTAAGGTCACCCAAACTGTTCAGGAGAAGAGTTAAAACCAGGTCTGTGTTTGATTCCACCTCCACGGCCTTTCTGTGTGGAGTTTGCATGTTCTCCCCATGTCTGCGTAGGTTTTCCTCCAGGTGCTCCGGTTTCCCCAACCACTAAAATCATGTACAATAGGTCTGGCATGCACCTCCTGTACTGGCGACCTCGCTCCCATCTCTGTGTGGAGTGAGTGACAAATGGTCTGTGGTCTGGTCTGTGAAAAGGCACTATATGAATAAAGAACTTACTTACTTTAAACTTACTACTGTATACTGTATATGGAGAAAACAAATACTCCACCTCCCCCGACCCAGAAATGGATTTAGGGGAAGAAAATGGATGGTATATTTTGGGAAACTTACAAGAAACGGTCAGGGTGATTTCTCCGCTCAGGTCGGCCTCTATGTTGTCAAAATCCGTAGCTGTGCAGTGGTATTTTCCGGCATCTGTGCGCTTGACGGATTTGATAATCAGCTTTCCTCCCTCTCCCTGAAGGGATTTACCCTTCAATGGAGAAAAAAGCGGATTCATATTACAGTAAACTTAAAAAATCTACTCTACATTCTTTAGATTTTTTTTTCTGTACGTACTTCTTTGCTGAACTCAAAATCAGGCTGTGGGTTCCCGTCGGTCTCACAAATCATGGTCACTGTGTCACCCTCTTTGACTGGAGCTGTGTTGGACAGGGTGAAGGTGGCGCTCTCTGAAGGATCTGCTCAGTCAAGGAAATACATGATGTTATGGGTCAGAAAAGTAAATTAAAAAAGTTTATGCAGTGGTCCCTCTTTAATCATGGGGGCTATGTTCAAAATAATAACTCACAAAAAGCCACATTTGTAAATGTGGGAAAAAGTGGGAAAAAAGTCACTTACAGTTGAGGTTGATGGTCATGGGGTCCGACTTCATCTGCTTCACCTGTCCTCCTGGCATTTTGTACTCCACCACGCAGTAGAACACAGCGTCCTTATCGGCCTTGGTGGGGTTACTGTAGAGGGTACTGGTGATACTGACCAGTCCAGACGCCTCCTTCACCACCGATGGAACCATGTAGGTCTCTGTAAGCACCAGCACTCACGTTTAGGGTCAACCAATCTGTGACATTAGTTCAGAAGAAATGAAAAAGACTTACTTTGATCTCTGTCTTTGACCTCAGGCAGAGGTTCATCCTTTTTGAACCAGATGATCCTGGGCTGAGGGTGTCCGTTTCTGGTCACACATTTGCCAATCTGTAAAGAAGCCAATGGGCAATAAGCGAGAGTGACAGGAAAAACAATATTGCTTTGAGTTTATCTTGGGTACACTTTCTTTACAATGCTTGGGAAACAGTACATATTCAGCAGTAACTTAAAGGGCTTGGCATTGGTTCGCTGCTGTTTTTTCATTGGAGCTTTCATCCATCCACCAAACCATCCATTTTCTCCTGCTTTTTCTATTGCTGGGTTACAGGGGCAGCACTGAAAGACATTCAGACTTCTCTCTCCTCACACACATCCTAATTGTCCCAGTGTGTCCTGGTTCTGTCATCCTCTTGATGGGATATACCCATCAGTGGGCACCAATAGGAAGCTTCTGAACCAGATCCCACCTGAACTGGGTCCTCTCAACATGGAGAAGCAGCAGCTCTACTCTGAGTTCCTCCCGTGTCACCAACCTCCTCACTCTATTTCTAAGGGAATGCCTTGTCACTCTGCGGAGGACACTAATTTGACTGCTTGGATCATGTTGTTTTTGCCATTGCCCAAAGCCTATGCGTTTTCTTACCATAACACCTTTTATTACTGGATCAACCCTGCTTTTTAATAATTGTGTAGAAATATATATCCTCCATCACAATTTGTAATCATCTACCCATTTGACACAACCAATATGTAAAACAAAAAGGAAAGCATATCGATTGCTATGTACTAATTGCATGCATAAATACTTGAATACTGAATTTGCACAACGGTAGATGCTAGCAATTTTTGAGAGAGATGCCACCTTTATAGACAATAGTCACCCACCCCTTATGGACTCTTATGGCTCTGTGTGTTTTTTATCATTGCATTTCTTGCGTTTTTGATTCTCTGATCTACTGTATGTTGGTGAATCAACCACTTTGTAAAGTCGTCCGAGATGACTACTGTTGTGATTTAGGGCTGTACAAAAACACATTTAATTGAATTTAATGCAATAACTTCTTGGATTTGTCACAATCGTAATGCAAGCTATATTGGTAATACATTTTTTTGTTCAAAGATGTTTCAGAAATCTCAGACAGCACACAATAACAAATGTACAATGAGTTATACCAAACTGAGAAGTCCCAACAGTAAAATAAATAATGTATTCCCTTAAAGTATATAGACTTTTCTAAGGATTATTCTAACCTCAGAGCTCGATGACTGGTCCACAAAAACAGCTTGGCTTGAAGATCTGGTCAACTCCGGCTTCTCAGGGGCAACTTCAAGAGACAAGGAAAGATTGTTACGGAGAATCTTTCACTTTACAAACACTCACTCCACCGTAGAAAACATTGGCTCTTCTCCCGCTGGCTGACCTTGTTAATTAAACCGGTGGTAAATATCCTGCCTGCCTGACCCGTTCTACAGGAGCTGATAAGGGTCAAGTCACAAAAACACTCCTCCCCAGTGCCCAGGATCACACACAGTCTCCAGAGACCGTCCCTTTGGATTTCTCCCATTCCTTTAAGCGCAAGGTCAGGTTATCTGCACCTGTAGCTGTGCGCCTCATGGGACACACTGGGGATTGAGGAGGAAAACATTATGGCAGTTTGTGAGAGAGATTTTCACACAAGAACAACAGCAGCGGTTCGTAACTGGAAAGGCATCGAGACACCAACGAGAACTTAAATTGGGTTTTGTTGAGTTGTACCTTGCTTCTATGTATTTGTTATTATTGCAATACCTGCGTTCGAGCTGTTTGATTCTCTGATCTGTTGTTGGCGAATCAACAACTTAGTAAAGTGCTCCAAGACGACGGCTGTTGCGATTTACAGGAGTACAAAAATAAATGTAATTGAATTGAATAGTGTGCAGAAACATGTTTTTCTATTCACAAATTATTATCTGTCAAGGGGAAAGTTTTATACTTTATTTCAAGTAAATTCAGTTGTTAGCAGATTTTTTTTCCTGAAATAGCAACATTTAAACATTTGTCACATTAGTTTCTTTACTATTTTCTGAGGGCATTTGTTGCAAGGTAGTAGATACATATTTTAATAAGTTTGCTCAGAAAAGGCTTGTGACCCACTCAAAGTGATCTGCCTTTTAGTATCATTCAGTTTTACAATAGGTCTATATCACAAAAAACCCTGAATAATAATAACAATAATAATATGAATATGAATACATGATTTAGAAATATATTTTTTTTATAATTTGAGGGTGTTTCTCCAGCAAAACTCACAATAAAAAATATACAATTAGCTCCATACCAGTAATTGATGACACACTTTAAAAAGAGCAAAGTATGTCATCAATCAGCTATTTATTTTAATTCACAATGTGATCCATTTTGCTTTTGTTTGTCTGTTGTTGAACAAACACTCAGAATCATTCTCCATTCTCCATCTATTTTCATTACAACTTCATGTGTGTGTTTTACCTCCTCCCAACAATCCTATTCCCACATAGAGTAGTGTGATTCTTGTATTTACCTGTCATTTAGCCCAACAAGAATCACCACAGAACACCACTTTAACTGATCTTAAAGAAGCTCTTATCTCAAACCTCTCTTATCCACTGACTGAAAAGCCCATTTTTTTCTCCGTGCTTGGAGTGATTACAGGTCAATAGCAATCCTCTTTACTAAACTCTCTTCAGAATGACGTATCAGATAGAAAGGAAGAAAAGTGACTGGCATGTTTTTTATGGTGGGATTAAAGATGTGCCAGTTTGCAGCCAGCTCAGATTAAAGTGATTTACTGATCTATTTTGGGATTTTATTAAGGTGACATGAACCATACATGACAGATGAGATTGAACTATCCATGAGAGTTATTACATAGGGGTAATCGACCTCTAGGGATGAAATTAGCTAAAATGAGCAACCTCTAGTGAAATGCAAAGCTGATAAAGTCCTCGAAGTGGCTGGAGTGATTCTTACTAATGAGTATTCAGAACTCCAATTAATATCATATGTCTGTAACTGTCAATGTCGAAAAGAGCTGCGACCAAATATGATTTTTTCTTGTTTTTAAGGTGTATTATGCAACCAAAAAAAATATATTAGCTCATGTTTTACAATGTAGTGACCCAGTAGCATGGTGCCTATACTTTTGCTTAAAACCAAACAACTGATCCTACAGCATCCTGAAGATCATGGCAACCACTCATACAGCCACTGGGTCTCTACAAGGCAATTTTTTCACATAAAAAGTTGCATTACTTTGTCATATTAACCCCAGGTGCCAATGTGCACAAAATACTACCAAGAGTAACCGACAATATTGCTGCTGAAGCCATGGTTACTAAGGAATTGGTTTAGGTTGTTGATGATACAGTAGCAGATAGAAAGGCAACAGGCTAGAGTTGAGCCAAATAGAGTGGAGTAGAGTAGGGGTCAAAAAGGGCTGAGTAGAGTAGAGTAGAGTAGAGTAGAACAGGGGTCAAGAAGGGCTGAATAGAGTAGAGTAGGGTCAAGAAGGGCTGAATAGAGTAGGGTAGGGTCGAGAAAAGGCTGAATAGAGTAGATTAGAGTAGGGTCAAGAAGGGCTGGTGGAAATGGGGCTTAGGGTTCCAAAGGGTCATCTCAGAGGTGTCACTCACAGAAGACTTTGAGCTCAGTGGTGGCTTCGCCCACACCAGCTGGTCCCGCGGTGACCTGGCAGAAGAACTTGAGCTCGTCCGCCGGTTTCACAGATGTGATGGTCAAGGTGAAGTCCTCCCCGATAGTGACGCGATTGGACAGAGGGGTGTCGTCGTCACTTTTGCTCTGACCTCCCTGGCGGAACGCAACACGCTTCCTGGTCTCCTGCTCCTCCTGAAAGCATGGGAAGTAGGCAAGGCAAGGTGAGTTTATCCCTAAATGTTTACCTCCTTAATGTTCACTCCTTTATGAAAGCAATGTCTAGTTTTCTTTTTTTGGATTTGCTAATATGTAGGAGAACAAAAAACACAAACATTTTTTTGATGTTCTTTTATTTATTTATTTTGAACCCCAAGTTTTCTTCTATATAGGCTTTTACCAAATGATTGAGATGCAGTTTGATAGTAAAAGTGCGTAAAACTAAGTGAGATTCCCCAAAGAGTTTGATATCTAGTCAATATAGTGACTCAAAAGGTGATCTACCAAATGGTTAAGGAAACCATTAAAGGGTTAATTGTATAGCGCAGTTCATACACAAGGCAATTCAAAATGATTCACAAAACAAGATAGAAACAAGAGTTCAGTTTTTAACCCTATGCACATCTAAATTGAACTGTTCTTAACCTGGATTTAAAGTTTGTCAGAAGTAGAAGCCTGTCTTACATTTCAAAGAAGACTGTTCCAGATTTTAGCAGCGTAAATATGTTTAGTCCTGACTCTGGGCAACCGCAGGAGGCCAGTCAGAGTCTGTGTTGGTACTAACATGTCACGGATGTACTTGATGCAAGGTCATGGAGAGACCTTGCACACAAGAAGAGCTGTTTTAAAGCCTATTCTTCCTGGTTCTAATCAGGACAATTTTGGGAGAGTATTTGGAATGGTCTTAATGCTGTGTAAGGAATGGTAATATCCTTCTAACATTGTAGTTTATCAGACTCAGAATCATTATCGTTACCCTTACACAAACAAACTGGCCTCAGGCTGTTTTCTTGGGTCATATATTCCTTCCAGTAAATAGAAAAATAAATGAGTGAAACTTACAATGAACCATTCGACCATGTTGGGGCTGGATGACGAGGGGGTGATGGTGTGTGTGCAGGGCAGTATGGCGGTTTCTCCTTTGATCACTTCTATTGAGGGAGTCACTTTGACGATCACGCCACCGCTGCAAACTGTGGACAAACAAGATACAAGGTTATTCAAATATATTATGTATAAGGGCTGAAACTTCTGCATGAGAATGTGTATTTGTAAGTTAGAAAGAAGTTGGAAAGATGCAAAAGGACATGAAGAGCAAACATTGTGAGTATTAATGTACGTAATTCAATTCAATTTACTTTTGTACACCCCTAAATAATCACAACAGCTTGGACTTTGCAAAGTTGATACACCAACAACAGAAAAACATTTCGAAACTAGGAAATGTAATTGGTCGATATATCAATAAATGTCCATAAATGCCCAGGATCATTACTGTCCTCATAGACTCTCCCCCAAAGTACTGTAGGACTATTCTCAAAATGTAAGTAGTACAATATTAAACCAAAGATGCAATTTTTCTGACAGAGCTCTCAAAAAATGTGTTTCTCAATTCAATATATTTGCCATGAGTGCCAGAGATACATACACACATCTTCTCATGGCTTCAAGCTATATATACATTGTACGATTCTGCAGGATGTGACTGAAACGTACAGTGTTGACTGAATTCTGGTTTGATAATAATACCAGATAAAACGCAAATACAATACAATAATCTATGTATAGGATTCCCCCCATAGGCCAGCTATATGTTAAGAGTCAAGTGTAACATGCATCAAATCAGACAGTTGTGTGTCCCTTCTGCTCCAACCTGGAGGTCCCCATGTTTGTTTACTCTCCTTGGGGTTTCCGACAGTTAAGCAGTGTGTTACGAGCTTTGGGGACAAGACTTTATCACCAGAGCCAGCAAGTCTTTCCTCTAGCACCCAGGGGCCGTTACTGTCTGCCTTACTCCTCTCAACCACGCACACACACACACACAGACACGCACACACACCACCATTTAAACACTGCCGAGACCTGTGATTACACTGAACAGCTCATTGGTTTGAAACAGATACTAAATACACCCACCCAGGGACAATAAAGCAAACATACAGGGGGGTATTAGGTTTCACAGATGAGGAGTGACACAGGAGTGCCTCAGGGATCGGGACATGGGCCGGGCATGTATTCAAGAATGACCTTGAATGAAACGGAGCAAGAGCCGAGGATATAATAAGTTTACTACCATAAATGGCTTGGCTCCCTCTTATCTCCAAGACACGTTAGTGTCGTATCAACCAGGTCGAGCGTTGCGCTCACAAAACGCCAGACGTCTGGTGGTCCCTAAGGTCTCAAAGGTCACTGTTGGTGGCAGAGCATTTAGCTACCAAGCTCCTTTACTGTGGAATCAGCTTCCCATTTATGTTAAGGAAGCAGATACGGTCTCCACATTCAAGGCCAGGCTTAAAGCACTTTACTTTAATTTAGCATATAACTAGGTAATATATAATATGTAGTGTATATATTATATATATATGCTGTATTATGTTATATATTATGTTATATATTATTCAATAATGTATTGTGTTATGTTGTATATTATGTTATATATTATGCTGTATGTTATTCTTTATTCAAGGCTAGGTTTAAAACAGTCCTCTTTAGTTTAGCATATGGCTAGGAAGGTAAGACTCGGAGAAGGTTAAACTCCTCAGAGTGTTAGTCAAGCTGCATAGGGAGTCAGTTTGCTGGGAGAAGTATGGTAACTTGAGCACTATCCTCTCCTCCTTCCTACTTTATCTGTTTAGCATTTTTAGGATTCTGACTGTAGTTTGTTCATTGCTATTCACCCGTTGTCCCATTGTCTGTTTCATGGTACGATGACGGGATCTCTGAGCCTGGCCTCTTCCATCTACACCTGCGGACTGCCCCGCCCGACCCGCCTGGGAGTGCTTTGGTCCTGCACCGGACCTGTCCACGTTCAGCGGCCACTGGTCCACGTTCTGTAGCTAGCTTAGGTCCTAGATCATTAGCCTGTCCGTCCGGAGGAGCGGATCCCTTTCTCATATGGGTCTCCCTCCCTGTGGGTTTCCCTAGTTCTCCTCCAAGGTTTCTCACTTTTTCCCACTGGGTTTTTTTAAGAGTTTTTCCTTGTCGATGCAGGAGGGTCTTGTTGGACAGTTAGTGTCCAACAGAAAGGATTGGTGATGATCAGGACACTTTAGCATTCTACAACATGTATGGACATTTTCTTCTGTGTGTGCTTTATACTGTATTCTTCATGTGTTTTAACTGTTGATTCTCTGACCTGTGTTGGTGATTTCAATGGTTTTGTTAAGTCCTCTGAGATGACTTCTGTTGTGACCTAGGGCTATACAAGAATAAATTGTATTGTATTGTATTGTATTGTATTGTACTACACTAACAATAAATCACTACCACTTTGATTTATCTTCTTTCATCAGGCATCAAGCACAAAAGGACAATATTGTGTGATTGAAATGTTTTAATTGGCTTTTCTAATACTTTCGAGTTGTAGGAGGGTCAGGGGTGATGATCCAGGACACTCGACATTCAACAACATGTATGGGCAGTGGTCATCTGCCTTTGACGAACCAATGGCTTTATGTGGTTTCATCATTGCTTTTCTTGTGTTAGAACTGTTTGATTTTCCGATTTGCAAATTGTGAAGTCCAACAAGATAACTACTTTTGTGATTTAGGAATAAAAGAGTAAACTGAATTAAATTGAATGAATACTTCCTATTAAACCTACCCGCCTAGAGGTCAAGCCATATACAGTGTATTATAGCTAGAATACCATTTACTAATACATTGTTGGTTTCATTGTCACTTTTAATAACTGTTTTTTCACTTTAAACCAATAGTAGTAATGTGCCAAATTTGGACCCTTAGTACAAGATACCAGTGATTTGAAAATGACTACTGGATGAAATCAAAATGTTTTCATGGTAAAATATGTAGAGCAAAACATGTCTTTGCAGCACTAACTAGTCAACGACCTGTCAAATTTGGCAGAGATATACCCATGGCTAAAATAGGGTCTACTGCTTATGAACGGATAACACGCTTGTTAGCAGGTTGTTTACGAGCCCATGGGAGAAAGCTATGGGCAGCAGTAAAGTCGTCAAGTGCTGCAGAGTCCACCGGGAAGCGCCAAGTCCCTAGAACAGTTCACAGCCTTTTTCAGGCCAAGCGTTAGAATGCTCTGTGCATCCCTGCAGGCGTGGAGAGTGGACAGTCTAGTGGGATAGGCAGTCTCACTTATTTATATGTTCTTTATGGCAGTGTAGAGTTGCACAGCATGTTCCTAAGATTGGCAATAGACTGTACTTGTTGAATCAACTTGTGATTATGACAAAGCTGGTTATGTGCACTTAAACCATGAATAACCTTGTGTAACTGTGTAAAGCAAATATATTTACAGGAATACAGGGGAGGTCACGTTTCCTCTTGGGGGTATGTTTTTAGCACTGCATGAGTTGTGTTTTTACCGCCCTAACTCACAACACAACATAGACAAACACATAGAAGCCATTGGTCCATAGAGAGTTTGATGACCAATGTTAAATGTCCTGGATCATCACCGTACATAGAACCTCCTGCATCGACAAAGATTTTAAAATTATAATATACTATACCATAATGTTTAATTTATAGGTGCTTGAGTTTTTTTCTAAACGCATTGCTTTAAAATTAGGTTGTCGATTTCTTATTGCAATATTTATTTGTTTAGTCTTTAGAAATATGTAATGTTTTAGTATTATCTCGTTTCTGTGCCGCACATTGGAATTGTTTTTTTTTCTAAATAAAATGTGCTATAAACTAGATATAAAAGATCGGATTGGATTACACACTTACAAAAGTACAATGTCAGCCATAATTTTAAAGACGAAACCCTTTGCTGAAATCTTTGTCAATAAAGCATTAATAATAGATGCATCGTCTTTCCTCTTATTCCCAAAACTACATCTATGTTCAAAATTCACCAACCTTAAACCTAATACTTTCACTGTTGACTCAACATTTTGCACATGTGCGTTGCTAATGAAGACCCCAGCCCCAAACATTACTCCATACATTAATCATGCAATTGATTCTGGACTGAAAAATCTTCCTGTAAATAATTTAGAAGTTGTGTTTATTCGCCCGAAGCATGTATGAACTCATGCTTGGTGTTCTAGTTTTATGAAGCGCACAGCAGAGATGAAAGAGGGACTTTATGAAGAGGAACAGATGGACACGCACCTTGTTATCACTATGCGGTATTAGTGAGAAGTATCGGCTGGCAGGAAATGACAGAGCAAACAAGACATAGGGAGGTAACGAGGCTGAGAGTCAAAAATGCATGACGACTTGAAGACTGTAATATGACCACAGGGGCAAGAAAGGGCAAAAGGTTAGTTACCAAGACTGAGCCGTTGGTAAACATTGGAACGCATTGAGCAGTGATGGAAAAATATTCTTTTATCCGAGGACACTTTGAAGTCTAGTATGAACGTTGAATTTATCCAAAGATTTTAGTTTGATTACAGTAGTTCTTGGACTAAAAGCCGCTACTTTTTACAGTTTTTTTATACTCTGCTGCCAATGTATGTATTTTCATTTTGTTGGAGCATGCATGAAAGGATTTCCAGAGCTGATGAAATGGCGCACATTCCTGCTTCTGTTCAACACAGCTATTCTTCCTGGAGTCAGGCAAGGTGCATTAACAAAAATACATGACTAAAATAAAAACAAAAATGATACAAATGATGACACAGGGTCACACACACACACACACACACACAAGACCCAGACCCAATCTCAGTTGTCAATGGTAGTTAGAGAGATTACAGCACAGTTGTAATATCACATGTTTATACTAATTTGTCAATAGATGTCTTTTTAAAAGGATTTTAAATTGGTATTTACTGTTTGCATTAATGTGAACAGCAGAGAGAGCCGACAAGAAGAAGTGCAGGGAAATACACAGGACTTGTTTTATGTGACTAGGGCTAGGACTATACTCAGAACAGAATTTATGGAGCTTTTATTTTGACTCCAAAAAGTTTTTGTCGGAATGTCGAAATAGATTGGATTTACCAGAGTACGTTCAGCTGTTAGTTAAGTGTTACATAACAACA